GAGCCAAGCAAGCTATTGCTCAAGACGAAAAGTTATCTTTCCTCGATACTAAGGAGCGCAAACTGATTTTGACAACTGATGCTTCGAACGCTGTCGACGGCGCCGTAATTCGTCAGGTTGCTAACAACACATCTCAACCATCAGTCTTTTTCACGCAGAAGATGCTGGCTGCCCAAACGCGTTACAGTACTTTTGGTCGCAAGCTAACTTCCTTTTCGTCTCTTCCGGCACTTGTTAGAAGGTAGATCATTTACCATTCAAACCAACTATAAGCCACTTACGTATGCCTTTATTGCCAATCCTGACCGATATTCACCACGCGAGATAAGCCATCTTGACTGCATTTCACAGTTCACTACCGACATTGGGTACACTCCAGGTTCGAACAATGTCGTCGCAGACGCGCTATCCCGTCCCGACATCTACGCTCTTCACCCTTCCACGCAGTTGCACCTAGCCAAGCTGGCGAACATCCAACGTAGTGATCCCAGTTTTTTGCCCATTCTATCGTTCCCTTCAATTCAAGTCTCTTCAATTCCCTTAACCCTCTAATCCGGAAACATTATTCGTGATATATCTATCGTCTCAGCTCGCCCAGTCGTCCCCGAAGACAGTCTACGAGTTGTTTTCGACCACTTTCATGGATTTTCTCATCCAGGAATCAGAACAAATTGGGAGTTGTTTAGTGCACGCATTGTATGGCCTTTCACCAAGAAGGATCTGACATCCTGAGCCAAACAGTGCATCGCCTGTCAACGCAGTAGAGGAACTCAGCATACAAACTCACCTACCGGTTCATTTGCCGTTCCAGATGCTCGGTTCACACATGTCCATCTCGATATTGTTGGCCCACTTTCAGCATCAAACGGTTTCACTCATATCATTACCATGATTGATCGTTTCACCCGTTGGCCCATTTCGGGTACTTCAGATGAAACTGTTGCTTTTTCATTTTTGCAGCACTGTGAGTAATTTTGGTATAACTTCCACCGTCGCTACCGATCGCGGTTCACAATTTTAGTGTAATCTCTTCCGGCAGTTTTCTACACAATTCGGTTTCCATCACAATTCAACTACCGCGTATCACCCCTGGTCTGACGGTTTGGTTGAGCGTTTCCATCGATACCTCAAAGCTGCATTGACAGCCCAAATGAACCCATCTTCCTGGTTCTCTTCTTTACCCCCCATTTTGCTTGCTATTCGCTCCACTATTAAGGAGGATCTTCACTGTTCCCCAGCCGAACTAGTGTACGTTACAACTTCACGTCTACCCGGTGAACTGATCTCTTCTGGCGCACAACCCGAATCAGCCGTCACATTCGTCTCCCGTCTGAAACAGCATATGTCCGAACGTCGTGCGACACCGACCAGATGATCAATGCGAACTGAACACATCTCAGTCGATCTCTCTTCTACGCCATTTGTATTTGTCCGATATGACGCAACGAGGAAACCCCTCCAACCCTATTATGATGGCCCCTTCAAGGTTATCGAACGTCACTCCAAATAATTTGTTTTAGAGAGAAGCGGTGGGCACGATACCGTCTCCATTGATCGTCTGAAACCTGCCTACATTGAAGTACTCACGACCACATCTAACAATACTGCTATCCCAATAACCCCGAGTCAAACAATGATATCCCCTGCCACCAAACTCGCTCGTTCCGGTCGACGCCTCCGTTTCCCTCAGCACTTGGCTGATTACGGAACTTGAAGTGAGCAAATATTCATTCCTTAATTTTCACCTTCAAGGTGAACGCTGTAGTGGGGGGGTAGTGTGGAGTTTTGTACCGTTATTTTACTTCCATTATAACAATGTTTTTCGTCAATTGCATAATCACTTTTTGTTCGAATACGAAAAACTACAAAAACGCGCACTTGTACAATTTCACATAATACAAGCGTGGTCACGTGCTTCGACCCTCTCTTCTGATTTCGCTCGCGCTTGCAGCGGTCATTCGCGAGTCTCATGTACTAACTGTGGTATCAAAACATTTCAGACATCTTCGGAATCTATTATATGTGGGAACTGTTCAGAAGAAGACCTCTGGACCAACATAACTGGATTATGGTTTATTCGCTGACCTGGGCCAACGACGAACTATTTTAAAGAGAACAATTGTTGGTGAGTCCGTTCCGTCTGGTCTCTTTATTTTTGTATACCCAGCCTAGCGTAATCATTTTTATTTCTTTGCCACACACTCCTGGTAAACTAACTTATTGGGTAGCCAAACCACTACAAATTTGGTGAGCCCGAGTATTTCTAGATAATTTTGAAAGCTTTTTCTTTCAAGTCGTCGTAATTTTGTTTCTTTTGCCCGGTAATTGTGGAAGCACACTTTGATTCAGCGGATTTAGTCGAGAATGCAATTAACATATGTAGAACACTCCTTCAATTCATCGTTCGTCAGTCGCTGGTTGATGGGGGGCCTGTCAAAAATAAACTTGCTGCGTGGATGGTTGTGCTCCAGACAGTAGGAAGTAACCCTCAAGCTGTCATGGTACCGGCGAACGTGGAACCTTGCCGGACAATCAGTACGTGTGCTACAACGTACACACAATCAACCATGAACTTACTAGGTGCGACGAATTCCACGGCTTCTGCTTCGTCTGCAGGGATGTCTGCCGCAACGGTAGAAGGCTTTTCGATACAAAAGTAGCGAATTGCTGCTCTTTTTGGAGTTTATACGGACAAAAACAACGTAATGTTTCGCCTGGTACTCTTTCGAAGCCACTTGAAATGCACTGAATGAGAAGAAACTTTGACGAGCTAAATTCTCCACAAAATCATCCTCCGCATTCACGTGCTCAGCCATAGCAGACATTAAAATGCGAATATCGCTGGCCTTTAAAATCATGGGGATTGACTAGATTTAAACAACTTTCAACAAAACTGCGGCCGTTTGGGAAGATCTCATACGCCCGAAAAATTACCATCAAATGTTAACAATTTATGTTAAAGTTTTCCCCCTTCGAACCACGGTTTCGGAGAAATTTTGGGTATGCATCCAGCCCACGGCGATATCCCTCCCGCCAACCTCACTCCTTCCACTAGTCGTTCCGGACGTCGCGTCCGTTTCCCTCAGCACTTGGCTGATTACGGAACTTGAAGTCAGCAACTTGTGATTCGTTACTTTAGTTATTTGAGCGCTTTCCCCTTTCGTGGTCAACGCTGTAGTGGGGGGGGGTAGTGTGGAGTTTTGTACCGTTATTTTACTTCCATTATAACAATGTTTTTCGTCAATTGCATAATCACTTTTTGTTCGAATACGAAAAACTACAAAAACGCGCACTTGTACAATTTCACATAATACAAGCGTGGTCACGTGCTTCGACCCTCTCTTCTGATTTCGCTCGCGCTTGCAGCGGTCATTCGCGAGTCTCATGTACTAGCTCTGGTATCAAAACATTTCAGACATCTTCGGAATCTATTATATGTGGGAACTGTTCAGAAGAAGACCTCTGGACCAACATAATTGGATTATGGTTTATTCGCTGACCTGGGCCAACGACGAACTATTTTAAAGAGAACTATTTTTAAGGAGTCTGTTGCATTTGACCACTTTATTGTTGTGTATCCAGTCGAGCGTTGTTGCTTTTTGTAATGCTTATGCTTCAGTAGATTATTTTGAGGCATTGGCTGTGCGGACGTCCCAAACGAGTACAGTGCACGAGAGTTCTACCGAGTAATTTTGTTCTGGTACTTGATAATGATAATGATAATGCTTATTCCCACCTTCGGGGTGGCATGCCGTTTGGCGTGATCGTGCGTTTACAGTCAGAATGGGGCATGACTGAGGGATTTGCGGGTAGTTGTGACTGCGCGGAAAGGGGACAATGTCACAAACAGTGAGGGGTACTCCATTAAATAATACTACTTTTCTTTTGCAACTTGTAGGGTACAATAGGCATGAGGTCCTAGTAACTCAGTGACTCAGTTGGCTGACACTAACTAAAACTGGAAAACCATTGCTGGACATGAGTGACCTTGGGCGGTTGGGTAAATGGCCGGAGTCATAACAAGCAAAAGTGGAGGTGGACATGGCACAATTCGAATTGAGAGAACACGGCAAGTTTAGTCTCAAAAATATGGTGCAATCTGAGAACAATCAGACTCACTGGTTGCTCTGCTGCTGGGAAGCCAGGTGAAGGGGTTAGGTTGGATGGGGTCACAGAGGTGGTTGTATTTGAACGAGTAGACCGATAGATTGGAATGAATGTCATGGTGGTCGTTGGGGTCAATGAAACGAGTAGGCAAGATGACACGGTTAAGAGGAAGAATGGAACAGTTGCGGGTGTGCTATCAAACTGAGCATGGCAGTGCCGTGCCATCATTGGTCTGACATGCTTCAGTTTTTGGACAGCCCCGTGACGGACGTCACATTTGAGATGATTCGACTTGGGTATGCAGTTCATCGAACAGCGGTATTCGTTTTAGCCTGGTCGAGGAAACAAGTTGGAACGAAACCGACATGAGATTGTAGGTTTTCTTGGTCCGCTTGGTGATCCCGGAGTTGTAGATCATAGGTCGGGTGGAATGGACATCAGCTAACCAGGTCGTCCAAAGCGGGCACTTCCGAAGTTTAAAGCTTGGGAAGGTGAGGGGATGGGAGGAGATTTGCAAAACATATTGAGTTTGAGGGGATATGAAATGGGATAATATGCATTTATATACATAGAAAGAAAAACTTGGCGTCTGCTGGAATTAAGGTGATGACAAGTGATTACATGGAGTAGGGAATAGATAGATTTGTACTTAGTAGGCTAGCGACCAGGGGCTGGTTTTGCTGATATACGGTATTATATTAGAAGGGATCTAGTAAAATCCGATATAAGCGCGCAAAAGCGTGGTATGGGAATCAGATGTGTGAGGGCTGGCAGGAATGGAATTCTAAGCTAACTGGTTAATGGAATGTTTATTACACGAGTTGGATATATACCAGGAGAGAAAGTGTGTGCTTGAGAAATAGTTACCAGTCCCCGAAGCACTGCTATCAGCTCTAATCCTTTAAACATGAAATGGCAAGCGAACTGGAAGTAACACTTGTCGTGTGTTGCTTTGAATGTAACCTTTGTGCTGATGGCGAATTGCAACTGGTATCATGATTTTCATTGGTGAAGGTTATATGTCCATAACCGTTATTTTTGTCACCCGTGGCTACCATTGCTACCTCGGACCCATCTTTTGGGTTTGCTTGTTTGAGACTGGGGCCTGTACGGGCAAGTCCTCGCTTTCCGTCGTGGCATTTGATTAAGTGAGTCTCGTCCCCATTTTTGGGTCCCGAAATAGATATATCTTCAGTTAGCGCCGGGCGTCTGGCATATTCTCGGAGACTGAGAAATGATTTACTGGTGAACATGACGTGCACCCGCTTTCTGCACAATCAAGGCGGGAATGACGATTCGGGTGTCACGGCTCCATGATGGCAATAACACCGATTCAAAATGAGTTGCTCCTGCATATAGATCATGTTCTGCACCATTTTTTTCTTCCGGCGCGAGAGCAATATTATTAGTCTATTAGCACTCGATGAAAAGTTGTTCCATGTTGTAAGAAATACACGTAATATATTTTTGTTGGAAAGATTTGTTCGTTGAGTCGTCACTAGGGGGATCGCACGAGATGTGGTTCATCCGGCAAAATGCCCTTTATGGGGAAACTGGATAATTTCTGTTTTGCAAAGCGGTAAGTTTTGGGCACGTCAAAAAAAGCTTCTCCGCTTTTTTCGGTGCGCGAGGTTCCTCAGCGTTGTTGGTGTAGTTGGAGGTCTGCATACAAAGGGGAAGTTTTATTCAGTATTTCAGTTTCCTCAAAATTGTTCTTTTAAAAGAAATATAAATTTGTTCACCAAGATACATCCTGCTTCTGGGCACTTTAAGGGAAGTGTCATATAGCGAATCGGGGCGAAGTCATGTGTTTACAGCCGCGCTCTTGGCTGCATGATTTGTTATTAACTTGCTGCTCCACCGGCAAGTCTTGCCCATCAACTTTGGTATCAATACATTCTCTGATACCTAAAAAACGAACTTTCTCCAGGTCCAGCACCTCTAGTTCGGACAATCCACTATGACCGTTCCCAAGGCTGTCCAGTGTTTTTGGCCCCACTGTTGAACTCTTCACCAGAACTTCTGCTGCATGCATGAGACTTGCACCCATCTGTTTATATATTCTACCCATATATTACACTTTGTACATATCGCTAAGAGGTATTGGTACACTACCGCTTATATTGTTCTTGTCTTCACATGCCTTCTCTCCATTTTCGCAAATCCCCACTGGGTGTGCAACTGACTTCTTGAACCCCACGGCGTTTTTGAAGCCACACCTTGACAGGTGTAATTACCAAAGAATGAAGTATTGTCGAGAATCACCAATCTAAGTGTTATGTTCAATGTGGCACTTCTCAAGGTCATCTCAACATAAAAATATGATCTTCCAAAACTTGACGGATATCGTGGGTATTTCAGCAGGTCTAATCACTCAAGGAAGTTGAGATATCCTATGACACACTCACCGCGATAAACTCCACAGATGATCCGCTTCCGTAAATAAACTTGCATATTGTGTTACTCTACCTGAATGGATAGACGAACTGGCATGATGTTATTGATACCTGGGGGTAATAATTTGGGGAATCGTCATGATTTAACTACTCTACATCGTACCCTAATTCGTAGGAAGGTGCAAGAATGTAGTTTAGGGAACAAAAGATCACCCCAGGTATTCCCCCAAATTTATAAGAAATGGGAATTTATGAACTATAAGTAAGTCACTAAAGCAGGTGTGTAGGATTTCCACAGGCAGCTTGACAATGCCATTGATGAGAGGTTACTTCCACTTTGATTGTGCGTGAAGTTGTTCCGTGTATTGTTGTTTCCGCCAAGCTCCCACACCAGCCTCACTCTAGTCGCTTAAATTAAATTGCTCCTCGAGCTTATCATAGCAAATCCGGTCGAAATCAACCGCGTGGATTTCACCATCCTATTGGTGTCTTGGTTTGGTATGAACTGTGAGCAGGCACAAATTTCCTTACCTGCCTGTTTAAGCAGGATCCGACTTAGAATTAACCATCCATAAACCAGTGTATGGAACTTGGTGTAATTGCAGGATCTTGGATTTGCGCGATGTTGTAATTCTATAGTTGAATTAATGGTAGCGTATTTGTTAACCTCCATTTGAGACATTTGACTTTTAGGTTTTACGTGCAAGTAAACTTGGCTCAACTTATTTTTGGAAGCGCCGAATTACATAAACTGGTAACAAATTCATGGTCTACGGATCTTATTTAATTACTGACAGTATCTAATCAATACTGCGGATCATTCAAGCGCTCTGCTTCCGTGGATACATATCGCGAGTTTCCCACGATAGCAAAGTCAATCAAACCTCGCTGTATAATTTTTCACGAAGCTGGGTAGTAAGAGCATAACTTTGTAGAGGCAGTCCCCAAGCGTACGCGCATACTTAGCTAGCTTTCCTGACCAGCTGGTAATCTGGCAGGCATTTGAGGGGATGTGGTTATTGCATATCAAGACATGCTAGGAACAGCGGGGGGTATAAAGCCATCCCAGATAGATTTCGAAGTGACTTAGTACCGCTCATCCAGGAGTGGAGTCGAGAGCTGCAATGAATACGAGTTAACCGGTAGTGTACGGTGAACAGTGGCATAACGACCCGGAAATGGATAGCTTCCCGATATTACGTGGTGCGCAGAAAGAAGTGCTAATTAATCATGAAAGTTGGGTGCGTGTAAATGAGTTCATGCTTTGAGCATGCAGATGAATGTGCTCGGAAGAAAGCCCGAGGTGCATGGTTGTGTTGCACTGTCGGAAGATTGGGTGAACAGTGTGGAGAAGTTAAAACCTAAGGAAAGGCGCGAGATAAGTTCCTTCAGTGGGGCCAAATCGTTTCTCATTACTTACCCGTAGAACATTTTTAATTCTGGTGTAATTAGTGTGCCGGATTTGTAGGACGATTGCCCGGGAGATATATAGGTCAGGGTACTGGATGTCTTTTGGAGGACGCCATGCAGCTGAAGATAAAGTTGTTATTCGTGCACTTCTTGTTGTTGAAGATAACGTGTAATGAACGGTGTCGTTGGATGTTAAGATACGGGTAGTGGTCAAAACGGACAAATCTGAATGAGCAGGCAATGCGCATTGGGAGGATAAATGATGGGACGTCAGGGCCAGTCGTTTACATAGAAGACAGAGACAAGAGTTGTGGCGCGGTGAAAATGTACGGTGATTCAATAAGGGTTCCTATAGCTGCAGAACACAGTAAGCGTTGCAGTGCAGTGGTCTGGATACCCAATAAGTTAGTTTACCAGGAGTGTGTGGTAAAGAAATAAAAATGATTACGCTAGGCTGGGTATACAAAAATAAAGTGATCAGATGGAACAGACTCACTAATAATTGTTCGATTTAAAATAGCTCGTCGTTGGCCCAGGTCAGCGAATAAACCATAATCCAATTATGTTGGTCCAGAGGTCTTCTTCTGAACAGTTCCCACATATAATAGATTCCGAAGATGTCTGAAATGTTTTGGTACCAGAGTTAGTACATGAGACTCGCGAATGACCGCTGCAAGCGCGAGCGAAATCAGAAGAGAGGGTCGAAGCACGTGACCACGCTTGTATTATGTGAAATTGTACAAGTGCGCGTTTTTGTAGTTTTTCGTATTCGAACAAAAAGTGATTATGCAATTGACGAAAAACATTGTTATAATGGAAGTAAAATAACGGTACAAAACTCCACACTACCCCCCCCCACTACAGCGTTGACCACGAAAGGGGAAAGCGCTCAAATAACTAAAGTAACGAATCACAAGTTGCTGACTTCAAGTTCCGTAATCAGCCAAGTGCTGAGGGAAACGGACGCGACGTCCGGAACGACTAGTGGAAGGAGTGAGGTTGGCGGGAGGGATATCGCCGTGGGCTGGATGCATACCCAAAATTTCTCCGAAACCGTGGTTCGAAGGGGGAAAACTTTAACATAAATTGTTAACATTTGATGGTAATTTTTCGGGCGTATGAGATCTTCCCAAACGGCCGCAGTTTTGTTGAAAGTTGTTTAAATCTAGTCAATCCCCATGATTTTCAAGGCCAGCGATATTCGCATTTTAATGTCTGCTATGGCTGAGCACGTGAATGCGGAGGATGATTTTGTGGAGAATTTAGCTCGTCAAAGTTTCTTCTCATTCAGTGCATTTCAAGTGGCTTCGAAAGAGTACCAGGCGAAACATTACGTTGTTTTTGTCCGTATAAACTCCAAAAAGAGCAGCAATTCGCTACTTTTGTATGAGAAAGCCTTCTACCGTTGCGGCAGACATCCCTGCAGACGAAGCAGAAGCCGTGGAATTCGTCGCACCTAGTAAGTTCATGGTTGATTGTGTGTACGTTGTAGCACACGTACTGATTGTCCGGCAAGGTTCCACGTTCGCCGGTACCATGACAGCTTGAGGGTTACTTCCTACTGTCTGGAGCACAACCATCCACGCAGCAAGTTTATTTTTGACAGGCCCCCCATCAACCAGCGACTGACAAATGATGAATTAGAGGAGTGTTCTACCTTTTTGAAATACGGTTCTTCTTCATCCGAGATTCGGGAGTGCGTCGCCGACCGCTTTGCAAAGGTACTCACTATCAAGGATGTGCTTAACTACCGCGTCAAATGTCGACCCCCTTTGTTATAAAGGTAGTTGGTTAACTATGATATGTCGTCCATCATAGCCAAGTTTCGAGAGTGCGGTCGCGTGCTGTTGGTGGAATCTGAGGGTGGCAGATATAGTCACCCGTGCTTTTCTCGAACGCAGCAAATATCACCCTTAGAGGTTGCCCAAACGTTGTAAGCGTTGATGCTACACACGGTACTAACCGTCTTGGGTAAATAAATTTCGAGCCACTGACGTTCGTTGTTAAGTTACAAGCTTTATACATTTCTTGTGACAGATGGCATGGGGATCGATCGACCCGTAATGTATGCCTTTGTCGAAAGCAAGCATTTTGCGCCATTGCGCAAGCTGTTCAGCTTGTTCAAGGATATGATGGGTGGACAATATGCAGTCAAAACGTTCGTCATGGACAAAATGACTTCACAGATGCGGGCTGCCAAAGCTGTATTTGGCTGCGACGTAATGCTGTGCTATTTTCACGCACGGCAAGCCATCCGGAAGCACGTATGTTTCATAGCTTTGGTGTAACTTTTGCAGACAATTTCCAACCACAGTCGACACATATTCCACCGCATGGCCCGCTTTGATAATGCAGCTGAGTAAGTGACTGTGCACCAAACACTAATCCCGTAGATTTCGCCACGATTTGCAAATCTTGAGGCGAACAGATCCTAGTTTTGTCTCTTATTTGACTGCCCACTGGCTCCACATCACTCGAAAGTGGGCCATTCATGCACAACGTGGGTTGGTACATTTTGGGAATGTGACCAACAACTGCCTGGAGAACGCCAACGGGCATTTAAAGAGGCGCGTGCATCACTCAGATAGCCTGGAGTATGCCATTCAGAAGGTCACTCATCACAGCGAATGTCTAATGCGCGAATATGCAATGCACACCACTTATTGTTGTGACCGTCGAGAAATTCGGGAGGGAGACATCTACGTTCTACGTGTGGTTTTCCGGATGACGACATACGCCTCTAATCAGGTTCTCAGGCACATTGGAATGTGCACGCTAAATCTGACATGCAAGCAGACAGATCGCTTCAAGTTGAGAAGCCCGTTGTTAGTAACAGTCAGTTTGTGGAACAAACCCCCAAATGTTCTCAGACAGTCAACACCTCGGCCGGAACCTGCACGTGCATATTTTACCAATCATTGTGGCTACCTCGTGTACACGTATTTTCAGTATTCAGGTTCCACTCGTCCCCATGCGGTAATTTGATCGATCGAACATGCAGCGTCTAGGTCAATTTCCAATCCACCAACGGTGGCTTGCCGAATACAACCTACCGGAGGGAGGAGTACCTGGTTCCAAGGCCAGATCCATCACCAATAGAGCATTTGCACAGGGAGCTTGATCGGTTGGTTGGCAAACTGAAGCTGCTGAAACCGCGTAAGGTTGCTGGGTGCATGAAGCGCTTGATTGTCCAAAGCCAGCTGATGTTGCGTCAAAATGCAATTAGTGCACGGGACAACCAGCC